TGTGTATGTTTATCTTATTGATTGTTAAATAAAATACTGTTTGGCCAATGAGACCGGAAGGAGGACGGGACTAAGAGTCAAAGAGGATTCTGGGAAATGTAGTAGAGAAGTGCTGATCCAGGCAGGAAGTGACATAGCAAGGAGACTCATATTTAAGTGATGGAGACACAGGAAGGGCCCTCTTTTCCCCTCCGCTCCTGCTCCAGCGGCACGATGAGGTCCACTGGCCAGGAGGGATGCCAACAAGGCGTCCGATAAGATAAGTCTTATAAAATACATAGATTTATGATAATTAAGACTGAGCTAACAGATGAGAATCCTAGTCATTGGCCAAGCAGCTTTGAACCTAATACAAGTTTCTGTGTATTCATTTGGGCCTAACTCAGGCAGCTTTTGGCTGAAAGATTTATCCTAACAGCTGATTTTCACCAATGGTTTTTATTTTTTAAATTAAGTATGTATGTGTGTGAGGGTGTACGTATATGTGAGCGCAAGTGCACATGGAGTACAGAAGACAGAGTCAGATCTTCTGGAGTTGGAGTTACGGGTGACTCTAAGCAACCGGATGTGGGTGACCCCAGCAATGATATTTAAAAGTACTGCAGCTATCTAAGTGAAAGAGTAGTTTTAACATTTCATTCAGTGGTAACTCAGACTGAAGCAAGTTACCTGTGTAATACCCAGAGAGCCAAAACTAGACAAAGAAATATATTCAAAACACTATAAATCAGTTAAGATTGATTCCTAGAAGTATTCCAGTAAACTACAGCAAGGCAAGAGAAGAGACACAGAATACTGAGAGCCAAAGGAAACAAAGAACACAGACTGTGGCAGGCCTCGGCAAAGCCCGGTCCATGCTGGGGTTAGATAGCACTTACCATTGGGCTTCCTGGAGGCTGTTCCCTGAAGGTCTGAGGAATAATCTCTGTGGGAGGCCCTGCCTGGGCATCGGCCTGAAGACCTTCTGCTGTGCTCCGGGTCAGGGTCCTTGACTGTGTGGTCAGCAGATGGCTGTTTGCTAGAGGCTGCACTCTGCTTGCTGGCCTTGTTCTTGGGGCTGGGTGGACAGGAAGGAACTTGGAGTCTGGGGGGATTTGTGCTCAGCTGTCCTTTTTGCTGTTCAGCTTCCTTCCTCCTGCTTTCCTCCTCCCGTTTTCTGGAACCAAAGAAGAGGAAGAAGTCAAAAGGGCCTCACCTGCTTGAGAGTCCTCAAGATGGACTGAAATGTTGAGAGGAGCCACCACAGCACAGGATAGATATGGAAATGTACACTTTCTAGGGTGGGCTTCTTCTCTAAGTATAACAGCAACCACCTTCTTGTACCAGGCCTTATTGAATGTAGCCTAAAACCATCATACAGGTCAGTCTGAATTGCTGAGATACACACCACCTAACCAGGCACTGGACTGAGTCATTTACCGATCTTGCTGTCCCTGGAGCTAACCAAAACTCCACTCCTTTCTCTCCTGCTCCAGACAGCACAGCAGAACATCACTAAAGGACCATAGTCACAGAGACTGCCTTGAATCTGTTCTGCTTGTTGTAAAAAAAAGACCATCATGAATAGAAATGATGACATGGAAAAGTTACTTGCAGACAACTTCACAGCTCCAGCCAAGGAGTCAGCAAAACCCTTTGAAAGTGGGACCCCTGTGATGATCTTCAAAAGCCAGACACGAGCAGTACACTGGGGGCTCAGCTCTGCTTTTGAACAACAGTATAAAAGAAGCTTGGCAGCAGAGGCCAGGCCTAAAGACCTGTGGCAAAGAAAGGCAAGCCAGTCCTCAGTCTCCCAGAGAGCTGGCTCAGGCTAGAAATTGGGGAGGGGCTAAGTGTAGGGTAAAAGGGCCAGCAAAAACAAAAAACAAAAAACAAAAACAAAAACAAAAACAAAAACCCACTTTAGCCCTCACACCAGAGCCAACTTGGCCCTGATAAACTGAAACCAACCAATCCCTGAACAGGAAAACCTAACCAATCCCTGAGCAGAAAAACTCCCTGGGAAAACTCTGCCCCCAAGAAGCTCTATATAAGCCCCTCTGCCTGTTCAGTTACTGGCTGTCCTTTTCCACCCTGGCAGAGGCAGTCACTCTCCTGAACTCCTTCCCAAATAAATCTCTTTCTCAAAAGAATCTTGGGTGAAGATCTTTATTTGCCATAGCAGAATAGAAGAACTTGCAGGGACATTCCCTTAGGGGGACTGAGCAAGGCTGTAGCGGAGAAAAGTAACTTTTCCCCGGAGCCTGTGGAGATTGCTACACATTCCTTTAGGGGGACTGAACAAGGCTGTAGCAGGGACTTTTCCCTAGAGCCAGAGGAGATTGCTACATTTCTGTAGAGGTTCCCCTTTAGCAGACTGTAGCTGAAGAAGTATCATCTTGGGCCCAAGAAGCAGCAGTTAGCTCTACTAGGACATTCCCTTAGGGGAACAGAGCTCAGCTGTTACAGCTTTCTCCAGGAGAGGAGCAGCATTGCTATATCCTGCAGGGAGACCATCCCCCACTACAACCCAGCCTCAGATAGCCTGGCTTCTGGAAAAGTCAGGATACTTCTCTCTAGGGCTGAGCTGTCTGTCCTGTGGCAGCGCCATCCTCCAGAGCTGTCCTAGGTAGCCAGGCTGCCTGAAAAGTCAAGACACCTTGGCAGCCCCAGAGCTGTAATATTCCACACTTACACTAGCTTGGTGCTGAAACCTGGCACTCCCACTCACTTACACTAAGGATAAGACCTATTTGATCAGTGCCACTAACTGAAGGGAGTCTAGGGAAAGAAGAAAGACCCCAGCATTTCCTGAGTCTCTCCTCTTCTGCACACCAAGGACACAGAATGGAGACTGCAGACCTCAGGTCTGCCCTGAGGAATCTACCCAGAAGGGAACAGCTAGGAAAAGAGAAACCTAGCCTACCATGGAAGAAATATTACAGTATTGTGCCTGAATAAAGTGGTGAATTTTGTGTGGAGGAATCTGTGGTCCCAGCTTCTAGTGTTGAGATGTGCAGGCACCTGGTGGGCAGAGATGGGAGGGAGGAGCCTGACCTGGTGAGCTGTGCCACACTGGAGTGTATTGACTTCCAGATGACAATGCTCCTCACACTCAGGGAGAGAATCTGGTCACTACTAAAGAGCCTACTGAGAATAGAGTGATGAGAAGCCATGCTGGGAACTTTTGAAGATGTCTGTGCTTGCTCTGTAGCTGACCAGCAAATGGACACAGCTGAGCTGCTCCCCTGTCAGAGACTAGCCAGTCCTGACCCTGTGTGAGAGCTCAGAACCCCGATCTAACAAAGAGATGCTAGGAGACTAGGGGTCTCTAGAGTCTTTGAAATTTATTTTACTGAGATGGAAACCTTACTTATCACAATATCTGAGGTTAGAATCTTTCTTCCGGGGCTGGAGAGATGGCTCAGAACAGCAGTGGCTGTTCTTCCAGAGGACCAGGGTTCAATTCCCAGCACCCAGCTGTCTGTACCTCTGGTTTCAGGGGATCTGACACCTTCTATATCAATGCAAATAAAATAAAGTTAAATAAATAATTAATAATTAATAAATAATTAAATATCAATGCAAATAAAAAAGTTAAATAAATAATTAAAAAGAATCTTTCTTCAGGGCAAGCTTGAGGGCACGACTGAGGGCTGGTAGAGAAGCCTAGATGGTGGCCAGCTCTGGGGATTTAGAGAAAAAGGTGCCTCCTGAGGCAGCTCTGCCAGCATCTCCTCATGGGTAGGAAGAGCTGAAGTAACACAAGAGAAGGATGCTGGGGAGAGAAGGGTCTGAGAAGCTATGCAGAGCAAGAGGCTTCCCCACGGGGAAGCACAGAAAAGAACTCAGGTCCTTGCTCCCTGCATTAAATGGCCAAATCCCCTGGGATCTTGTGGGTTGCACATTATGATTAACTTGAATTCTATGCTCTGCATTTCCTACAAATGTCCAGGTAACACAACTCTTGCTGCTTCTCTGGCCTATCCAGAAGCAATGAGGCTTAAGAGAGGAGGACCTCGTAGTCATGGTAGACTATGGGACTGAAAGGTGCCTCTGTGACGTCACCTTTGCATGGTTTACTATACTAGTGCATGCTCTTTCACATGCAACCTGGCAGTCTATAGGTCCAAGACACCTAACATGAAGGCCAGAGCTGAGGTAGAGAACCTGAGCAAGCAGAGAGCTCAGACTTCCCCTGTCCAGATTTAGAGTGAAGCTTATTTAGATTTCAAGGGACGGGGAAGACACAGCTGACAGATGATTTTAAACTACACCAACCTGTTAAATTTCTCTTGCTAGGGTCGTTCTGTGTGGAAAAGCCTCTATTTGGGAGCCCATTGAATTTCATCACAGAGTACATGGCCAGGTAGTTTGGGATAAGTCCTGTCTTGATTGGCTCTGGTGTTGCTACACTTCTGCCAACTGTTGACACTTGAATGTGCTGTACTGCTGCTGTAGACTAGCTGGGCAAGTGTCCTAACCGAGGGCTGGGATCCACATAGATGCTAGTAAATGCCACTCAAGGTGACTGACAGGTGCTAGGGAGTGCTGGGACATGGGTTACATTTCAGGAGAAGGTGGAAACATCTGGGTTTCCTTCAGGCAGGGAGAGGGAGCCTCGCTCTTCATATACTGCAGATGAACAGAGTAGCTTTAAGGGAGTGGTGTTGGCCCTTTCCGTAGATACACATATGAGGCTGTCTGGGCTGGCATCTCCATGGATCTCCATGACAATAAGAGTGGCTCACAGGTGACAAATGAGATTTTATTGTTTGAGCAGTCATTTATTTCTTTTAAGAAACCAAATATCCCTAGTTAATTCAAGAAGTCACTATGTAGCCATGGGACAAGCTCTGTTACAATAGACCTTCCTGGGCCTCCAATAAGGCCAGTCACATGACAAACGGCAGGTAGCCTGATAAAGTGATGAGGATGTACAAACATCAAGCAGGCTGTTTTCTGGGGGTCTTCTTTGGAGAAGACACAGTGTTTTGTTTTTATTTTTATCTAGAACAGGAAGTATTCATGAGGGTATACAGCTCAGCTTTAGGTGAAAGAATATGAAGTTTTATGAAATGATACATTTTTTTAAAAAATTAAAACTTCCAGGTGTCACAGATAACAAGGGTATTGAATCCTTGCTCTCCCCAGGCAGTCCCCTTGGATCGGGCAGGGCTAAGACTTGTCAGCATCTTGGGTCTATAAGGAGAAGAAATCACAATCCCATTTTCTAACACATCACAGAGCTGAGTCTTGTTGCTCTTTAAACCTGTCACAGGCTGAGTTGCATTGATCAGTATGAAGCGGCCAGAGAACCAGATGCACAAATAAGTAAGTACCCCAGCACACTGTGAAGATAAGTGGCATGTAACTGCATACGCTGCCTTGAGTAGGACAAGCAAGTTAAAGTGTTACACTTACAGGCTCACAGATTGGAATGGAGAATGTCCAAGAGTGTCTGCTCTGTGACAGCTCATCTGGACAGTCAGCTCGGCTGTATTAAAGATAACCTACACCAGGAAAGCATACCTCTGAGTTTATCTGTGATGCTGCTTTTGAGAGACAGAACCTGAGGCCTCTGGTCTAATGAATGGATCTATCTCTTGATGATCTTATTGTAAAGAGATGAAAGGTAGAGGTGGGGCCTAGCTAGAGGAGGTAGGTCACTGGAAGTGGGCATTTGAAGCTGTATTTTGCCCCTCCCCTTCCTATCCTCTTTCCTTAATTCTTGGCTGCCATAATCTAAGAGACTGTGTGCTACCACACCCTCCCCACCGGGAAGGAAGGGTACCACTGAAACCATGAGCAAAAATCTCTCTTCCTTTAAATCATTTTTGTCACTCATTTTGGTCACAGTAGCACAGAAGTAACTAATACACAGTCCAGTGCTTCCATCTGACAAAGGGGGAAACTAAGGCATGGAAGGCATGTCCAACGTGTAGCCACTGGACTGCATCCCAGGATAGCTATGAATTCGGTCAAACACACTTGTGTATGACAATGTCACATCACAATCTCAGAAGGCTAGGGGTTGTTGAGATGGCTCTGTGGGTAGAGGTGCTTGCTATACAAGCCTGACCACCTGAGCTCGATCCAGGAACCCACATGAAGGTAGAAGGAGAAGACTGACCCCACAAAGTTATCTGCTGACCTACACATATGCACCAAGGTGTG